CAATGGCTCCAAAAAATTCAATAAATACGTATTTACGTATTTCTGCGCTTTAAAATAGCTTCGATTGAAATTTTGATAAGATTTTTTTGAATGTTATTCAGGCAATAATGACTTCATATTATTTTCATTAACTTTGTGTTTTAAAATATTTATAATATATTCTTAGTCAAATAAGCTAGATATAAATTGAGATAGGAAGAAGATAATTTTGAATACTTGTCATTATATTAAATAAATTCCTATCCTTCCAACCTACTCAACTACCTGAATTTCTACTACCATAAATTATTGGCATCTTTATTATAATATTAGTGCGATTAGATATGCATCAAATCGGATGGTTCTATCTATTGAAGAAGTGAAGCACTATCTTCACCATAATTAAAAAAATAGTTTAAGTGCTGAGAAAATGTATTCTCTGAGCAGAACAGGAAAGGATTAAATTTATGAAGAGGATGTTCGAGATTCGGTCAACTTGCACGAAATACATTAACGGGAACCTTCGAATAAAAACATCTGCTCGCGTAAGTATACGAACAATTTAAAATTCGCAGGATGGATGTTTCTAATGCAGCCGGAGGAAGGAGCACAAAGAAAATCCTAAATAAAACTAATCGCAAAATTGCGTGCGGCACGTGACCTACCCCTAATCATCTCTCGAATCCCCTCAGATTCCACTTTGATCAGTAAACGAGGAAAAGTTTACCAGTTAAACGAATTGTAATGATTGCTTACGTCAAGTTCGCAGTCGAAATCAAGAGGGAAACGGGTTGTAAATTTTAAACAATCGGTTTCTAATGAAGTGCCTTATTTATTATAACGATTGTAATGTAGTTATTGCACTTTTGATGCTCACTCAATTGTATAAAAAAGTTTGTTTATCTTTTAGATGGTTTCTACAAAAAAAAGTTTTCTGAGCTGAGAATGTATGGATTGAAATTAATGTTTATTATACATTTTGAATAATGTATTAGTTAACAGAGATTTATTTTTTACTAAAGAAACCTACCATAAATAAATTAATTAAAAATTCCCAAAAAATTCAACCATTTCTGGAATTTCAATATGTCCCTAATTAAAAAAGTTCCACATGTAATTGCAAAGGATCCGTTGCCGTACGGATAAAAAACTTTTTATTAGTTCCAAAAGAGGAATATAGATTTTTCTTCTCCCTTTGAAACGAATAAATCGTGTATGCTAAACTTCTTCACTCTGACTTTTCTGTTAACTTCGACAAGTCAACAAAAAAAACTTTTCAATCGCTTCGAATTATCTCGCCGGGCACTGGATTTAGCGAAAATGAATTTCCACAGCTTGACGCACAGGTTGAATTTTCATCGAGGAAAATATCACTTTCGATTTACTCACCCCCTGTTTTAATAGGTACTGGCAAATATATTATACAAATTCAATTAAAATCTATATTAATATATTACTAGGTAGGTACTTAAGCAAAAACATTTTTACAACGACGAAAACTTAATACCAGTAAATAATTTCATTCAACAATAAATTTCCTGTGTTCATTCATTTTCGCGTTGGCTTTTCAAAGCAAATAATCCGCGAGCGGCCGCTTTTCCTCCCGGGGGAAACTTCAAAATGGTAGATATTGGTTCGGGAATTGTAAGATATGTACTGTGATTTATTCGTCTAATTGTAAAGTTTAAATTGTAGGATAAATTTAAGGGAACAATAGCGATAAATTAAAATGGCGGATGCGGATTCAATAAACCATTCTAATGACTCAATATTCCGTAGTATATTCTGTAGATTCATACATTAAAACAAGGCAATTTGTTGTAGTGTAAATAGTTCTATGATATTTTATGTACTAAATCTAGAATAATATACATACCTACTATAACCGTAAATAATACAATTGCATCATTAATTTTATCTAATTTTTGGATAATTTCAGCTAATTAAGTTTTCTTTTTTATACCGTTATAGTATTAAACTAATTTTACTATAATTTTTCGATAAAAATTGGTGAAGCTGCAATAAAAACTTTTTTAAAGTTCTGTGTACGTATAACAATTGAGAGTCACCTCATGAGCATATTTTATACGTTACATTAAATAATAAAACCACCCATATAGTTATAGCCCTACCGCTTATCCAAACAGTGGGATATTGCACTAACCCCTCAATGTTCACCCTAACCACTTCCTAACCAGCTGTCCCTGGTGAGATGTAGCAAAAATAAATTCTATAAACTGTAAAAACTATTAGGCGGGTTTCTATTCGAAAAAAATCTGCTACACATATAAGTTTGCAGTTAGAAAAATATTCTTCAAAATATTCTAGCATCTAATTTTTATGTGGGTTGTTCATATTTTTCGATAAAATAGAACAATTTATTTATAATTTTTATCAAAACGTTCCGGTTAAAATCGTTTTGTAATCTTATCGCCCTTGTCCAATGAAAAGTTGTTCCAAACACGATCCCTTTTTCCCCATTAAGGTGTTCCCAAAAGTATCCCGTTGTCCGGGATCCCTTTGAGCTATTATGAAAGTAGACAGATTTACAGAGATTTATCCAGAAGGAAACTTTTATGGGTCAGTAGCCGATAATACACCTACTCAGCTAAATAGGATCCTCGATTTGGTCGAAAGGTTTTTTTTACTGCTGTTTGCGACTTGATTCACGTATCTCATTTCACTAATACGTTTACATTTTGGCAAAAAATTTTATCGCTTTTATTTATTAGGATCGTTACTGTAAAATTTGGGTTCTAATTTACGTTCTTTTTTATTTACCACTTTTAGTTATTTCATTTTTTATGTCAGCCATTTAACCCAACCAATCCTATAAAAAAATCTAATGGAATCAAACGTTGAAAAAATAAGTATAAAAATGTTACAGTTCGATTGGAGTAGCTGAAGCTGCACAGCCAATGAGCGATACTTTCATCAAAAATTTAAAAAAAATTGTATAATTTTATAGGGATTTTACCTGTATATTTGAGCATACGTTGTTGACAAGTTTAAAAGTAATTTAAGAAATGGAAACTTTCAGAGTCCTCTCTTGCGTATCCATTCCAAACTACTCAAGTATATGAAAAAATATACTTCCAAAGGTGATTCATATTAACTTGTTTCACATCTCCTTTTTATAGACAAGAGACAAACACTTTTTATTTCGTTTTCGCTCGTAAATCCATTCGTTTTCCTTAGTTTTCTAGCAGACCCTTCACTTTTTCCAATTGTATAAGAATCCGAACAATACTCAGCTCCATTAGGCTGATTGAAATGATGTTTGTTTTTGATTTAAGAGGTTTATTGATGAATTACTCTTTCGATTTTAGAGAAATGTTTTTTTTCCAGTGAGAGCTTTTTCTTCTATAGACATGCCTACATTTTGATTTATTTGCTATCGACTCGACACAAATAGGTATGTTATACGCTAGAGTATAAATAGATATTAAATATACCTGCGGTATGGTATTGAGTATTGAGTAAGAAAATGTAAAACGAATTTGGCTATACTTTATAGAGGCCAATTTTATACAACCAAATCGACCAATTTTTAATTATATTGAAACAGCCTCTTCAGCTTTATAAATGAAAGAAGGCATTATATTAAATACACAAAAATCATTTTCTTAAGGTAACATTAATAGAATTTTGCAGATATTTAGCAACGCATAAACGAATCGAAAACGTAAACTTTTTTCCATTGTTCCCGATTTCGAACTGATACTCCTCCGTCGAAGATCATCGACTTTTTACTTTCTTTTCCTTTCATTCTGTCCAACGATGCAAAAAACTTTTAATTTTAACTAAAAATACTGGAGTGTGACTTCCGAGTGATTCGTTACCCTCTTGCGCAAGGGCGACGACAATACTTGAAATTTCGAAGGAAAAAAAGTTTAATAAGTGAGACCGTTAATTCTCCGAAATTCAATTAGAAGTTTAAAAAAAAGAAAGTTAAAATTCGTTTTGTTCGCTCCAGAATGTCGGGTTATTTGATGCCGGCTTCGGAATGAAAACGTTCGATTTACTCGAAAGCCTCTTCCTTTCAAAATATTTACTTCTTAGTAGAAGCCAGCTTGGTTTGGTTAGTAGATGAATTTGAATTTTTTAATAAAATATTTCCAGGCTTGCACTTGTTATGACTTTATTATTCTTAGGTGTTATTGATTCGGTTCTCCAGTTACTTATATAGACAGCAATTTGAGGGTCAGCTTAATCCAATTGTAAAATGGGCGTTGTAGTTGTTGAGTTAGAGGGGCGTCAATCCGGATATATTGATATCCTAAAATATTATGGTAATACTCAGACCGATCCAGATAACCCACATCGCACTCATATATCAAAGCATATTGAAATTGGAAATTATATTGGATATCAGTTGTCAGGGCCGTCAGTCGAGAGAGCCCAAATTCAATAAACATGCTCGTCTGGCGTCTTCCTTTCCTTTTCAATGGACCACAAATGGGACCATTGTGAGCGTCAATATGTATTACGGGCTGGAAGAGCCATGATTTATCCTGTTTGGATTTTATAATACGATGTCGATGCGATAAATATTTTCTTATTTGCCCAAAAATATTTTTTCTTTTTACAAATAATATCTCTATACAGCTGAGTAATTTCATCCAACCTTTTTGTGCAACAGCAATTAATTCATAGTAAAACTTGGGAGATAGAAATTTGGCAGGATCAAAGGTAGATGTTTTGATAAACACCAGCAGTAATCTTTGATGTCTCGTTAATAAAGGTATAGAGGTAAAATTTTCTTTTAAATGTAAGATTCATTAGTTGTCTACAATTACTTACGAGAGTAACTTGTGTAGGATATACCAAAAATATTACAAGGATAATACTAAATTAAAATCGTAACTGGTAGCGTCATCTATACGTAATAATCCTACATTACTGATATTTTATTCACAAACATCCCGTTTTTACTTAATTATTTTAAGTGTAGATGGCAGTAGTGTCGAGATAATTCCATAGAGCACATTTGCAAGGACATCATAGCATAGCACAGAATATAAGATCTATGTTAGAATCAAAAGAAAATCCTAACCTGCAAATATAGCAAATTATAGTTTTACTCACAGTAAGAATAAAAAACTATTTATGATTTCTTGTAACAATGGTGTATTATTTCGAGAGTACTGTGGTTTCGCCTCCAGTTCTACTATTCATGGGTTTCGACAAAAACGAAAGTACGTGCAATACTGGAGCAAATCGCGCACATTTTAACATATTTCTTGCAGATGAAGATCTAATAAGATGGGGCTGGCCTGAAGACGTTTGGTTCCATGTTGATAAAGTGTCTTCCGCCCATGTCTACCTAAGATTGCGTCAGGTACATTCGTGTATCGAATACATACATAAATACTTGTTATCCATTGGGCTACATTTCTTAATTTAATAATAATTTTATTCGTTTTTAAAGGGCCAAACTATAGACGACATACCTTCCTCGGTCCTCGAAGACGCTGCTCAGCTCGTCAAAGCCAACAGTATAATGGGAAACAAGATGAATGATGTGGATATTGTGTATACGATGTGGGCGAATTTGAAAAAAACGCCCGATATGGATGTCGGTCAAGTAGGCTTTCACAAAGAGAAGGAAGTGAGGAAAATGAGGGTAGCGAAAAGAATAAATGACATCGTCAATAGGCTAAACAAATCGAAACGAGAGGAACACCCAGGTAAAGAATTGTTTGATGTTGAATGTTTATTATGATAGCATGTTGTATTGTAGACTTCAGGGCGGAAAGAGAGAAACGAGACAGACTGGAAAGGGAGGATAAGAAGAAGGTGTTGAGGGAACAAAAGAAAAAGCAGGAGGAGGAAGAGAGGAAACGAAGGGACGATGCAGAACTTAAAAGCTACAACTCGCTAATGAGCGCTGAAACTATGAGCAAATATGACGATGGTAATGATTCAGACGAATTTATGTAACAATATAGTTGAATAAATGGCAGTTTATAAATTTTTATTAGTAAAATCAAAAAGTATTTTATTTTAAACTAAACGTCACAACATCGCAGATTCCTACCTGTTGATAGCCAATCAAAATGTTATTCAAGTGACAGCTGACAGTTGGAAATAACACCTATTGGTTATATTTTCAAATACTTAAAATCAGTTGATTCTTCGATTGTGAACAATTAAAATATCGTGAATTTCTTGTGGTAAATTTAATCATGTTTAATATAAAGTATTCTACGATATAGACTAGTAAAATCAAAAATAATTTCATTTTTAACTAAATGTCACAACATCGCAGATTCCTACTTGTACTTGGTCAGCCAATGAAAACAGTTTTATTCCAGTGACAGCTGACAGTGGGAAATAAGTCCCATTGGTTATATTTTCAAATCTGAAATCAGTTGATTCTTCGATTGTTTACATTTAAAAATTATTGAAACATCGTAAATTTCTTGTATTGAATTAAATCATGAAGGATTAATCCAATGTGTTGAACGATATAGACGAGGTAATTAAGTAATATGAGTGCATTTAAAGGTGCAAATTCTGCACAGAAAATTCGTTACACTCCCAACCATGGCATGCCATTAAAGCGATTGGACCTCGAAGCACTTAAAAGAGAACTTTTTGAAAGCAGTGATGAAAGCGACGGTGACGAAGACGATGGGAAAAGTACCCAACAAGTTGATTCAGCAATTGGATCTAATTTGAATCCACCTAGTATCAGAAAATCAGAATCCACTTCTACAGAATCAAGATTACTTTTCTCCACCCAAAAGTCGTGCGTGAAAGATAATAGCACATCTGGACGTGTAAGTGCTTTTCAGAAATGTTATCCTCATCAACCAACGCGGCTTCGTTTGAATTTCCATTCCAACAAAGAAGATTCTCTGCCGACGAACAAAGGGTATTGTGATTATGACGATCAACTCATATCGGAGGTTGATTCCGCTTTGGAAAATAACTTAAATTTCTCTTGTTACCTAAATCCCGAATCTAGTTTTAACAAGCCTGAATCGGACTCGAATCGTTTACGCTCATTCGAAAGAATAACATGGTCACATAACAAAGAAAACAGACCTAAGGAACTAAACAGTGCAATTCTGTCGAGCTCTAAACAACGTGTAGTCGATGAAGCAAATCAAAATGTTTTCCAATTATCCAAACGGACAGTCAATGATAAAACATTTCGTAAAATCGTTGTAAACAAAGTGCAGTATTTAGTTCTTAATTTATTGGGTATGGGCGGTACCTCGAAAGTATATCAGTGTTTTAACGTAGACAAAAAAGACGTTGTTGCTATAAAATGTATATCCTTAAAGAACATGCAAGAGGGCCAGAATCTCATTGACGAAATTAAATTGTTACAAAAACTTAAAAATTGTCTGAGGGTGATCAAATTGTTCGATTACGAACAATTACCTGAGGAGTTGCTGTTGGTCTTGGAAAAAGGCGGTGTTAATTTAAGTTCAGTATTAAAAAAGACTGTTGCTCAGAAACGGAACATTCCTTATTACAAGCTTGTATTTTATTGGATGGAAATGCTGCAAGCTATGAAAGAAATACACGATAATGGGGTTATACATTCCGATATAAAGCCTTCGAATTTTCTTGTCGACGGTCAAGGTTTGAAACTCATTGATTTTGGAATAGCCGCCTCTGTTCAAAGTGATGATGCCTTGTGCATAGTAAAGCAGGTTCCGGAAGGATCACCTAATTATGTGTGTCCGGAGGCTTTACGGAATATTTCGACCGAGCCAGGTAAATTTAAATACGCCATTTATTACAAATCTGATGTATGGTCTCTTGGTTGCATTCTGTACGAACTTGTCTACAAAATTCCGCCATTTTATCACTTAAAAACAGTGCAGGCCAAGTTGTCTTCCATTCAGGATCCAAATTATAAAATAAATTACCCTGAAGTTGATTGGTTACCACCGAAAATAATTAATACCATTAAAAAATGTTTGCAATATAATATTCAGTATAGGCCTTCGATAGCTGAATTAATTAAGGAATATGAGCAATTTTAAATGCCACTAAGTATTAGTAGGCTTACACACTATTTTATTTATTTTTGTACAGGGTGTTTCAAAAGTTAACGTGCAACCAGTATATCTGATAAATATAAATATCTTACCTGTAAAACACTTTTGAAACTCCCTACATTTTATATCATCTACAAATTGTTTTAACAAATCTTTTAATTTAAGTTAAATTTTATTTTTTATTGTTGCTTTAATACTCTTATTACTTTTATTACCCATTGTATAAACCAGAATATATTTAGTAATATACTATTCTCTTTTGTGTTCTTTTAAGAACTAGTACTCGAAAAAAGTATTATCTTTTAATAAAAATGTATTCATAATTTTACACCATTTAAGCAATCTGCATACTTATAATGAATTTAAAACCAATAGGTCATTTGCATTGTACCATCTGAAGCCTTCTGAGTATCCATAAGACTTTGTTGTCGCATTAGTTTCTTCAACGATCTTCTCGGTTGTAGTTCAGCACTTTCCAAAGGCGTCTTCTCCGTAGGTATGGTTACATGGATTTGTGTAAGTTCCAAGTTTTCATACGAATTTACAACAGACGGTGTAGGCCTGCAAATGGTAAATTATGATGAACATAACTATTCGAATACATGATACTTGATACATACTTGATGGGAATACATCTCAAACAATCCTTCATACCAAAATCTTTACCGAACTCTTCACCTTCTTCAACAGTTTGAGGTAATTTGTAATGTAAAGTTTCTGGAAGTCTCAGTCCAGTTAATCCCCCTATTACCGATATTACTCCCATAATTATTAAAGGTAATATCAACATTTCCGAGCCCTAAAAGTTAAATTTATTTTCAAATAATTCAAATACAAACAAAATCCTCGTATTATCCTTACTAGATAAGTTATAAACGGTATTATAATAAGTCCCAATCCAGCGATGTAAGCTGAAGTTCCAATGCCAACACCTCGTACTTGCGTTGGATACAATTCGCCGGCAAAAGGAAAGATTATTAAAAACGAAGCGGAAATCGCCGATTTTGATACCAAATACAATATAAGAGTAGATTTTACGTCGTCTGAAACATAATTCTCTTTTATTATAGCACTTTAAGATACATATTATTTGCACAAACAATTATCTCACCCTCTGGTAAAGCAACAGTAGCCAAGCAACAAGCTCCGCATATGAGCATACAAATGCATATTGGCCACCTTCTTCCCCATTTGTCCATTATCAACCAACAACCCAAATAGCTGGGTATTTCTACAGCCGCCGAGAAAAAGAAGCTGAGATATTCGTTCGTTCCCAAAGAAGGACTGTAATAGCTTAGGCCCACGTAAACTGTTTCATTAGCGAACCAATTTAGGGTAATTAAAGTAGTCTTCAGTCGCATGTTAGGTGTTCCGCACAGTTCTGAACAACCTGAAAAAAATCAATTCATCAGGTTGTTTTTAATAAGCTAGGACTTTTTCGAATCCATGCGTTACCTGGACTTTTCTTCAGCGCTTCATCTTCGCTTTTCGTTCTTTTATGCATTATTTTCCTCTTAAGTTTTTGCCTGAATGTTGGCGGTAGTTCTTTTTTATTGACCCTAGCTAGCGTTTCCAATATTTTCGAAGCTTCTTCGAACCTCCCTTTGGCCAATAACCACCTGGGGCTTTCGGGCAAGAAAAACCAATAAAAGTAGTAGAGCAGAAACGGCGCGGATGTGACGATTCCTAGCAAAACCCAATCGTGCACCAAATAGCAAATCCCTGCCAGCATCATCAAACCGACGGTGTAAAAGAGGCACGTTAACACCGTCACGAAAGATCGGTAATTCGGTCCAACCAGCTCTAGAGCTGAAATAGTCAATATAAATCTTCCTCGTAAAATCTTTAAACATCTTTAACTCACATATAATAAACGGTATTTGGTACATAGCTGGTATAGTTAACCCCACGACCACTCGGCTTCCTGCCCACCACCAGAAATTTTGAGCCACCACAGTCAAAGCGCTACCGACCAATAGAGTAGTGAGGCAAAGGAAAAACGATTTCTTCCTTCCTATTGTATCGTTTAGTTTCCCGAAGGTGTACACCCCCACAGGTCCTCCTATGTTTAATGCTACCAAACCCAGCGTAGGGTAGATGTCTCTTTCGCATACCAGGTCATACTGAAATTGATTATTTTGTATGCACTTTCAATTGCAAATTGGGGCTACATTTGTGGCGAGATCCATTTCTGATTGTTACTTACGTCGATGACGATGCTGGATATAACATTTGTTTTGTCGTAGACCCACCCGTCTAAGCAACTTTCCGTCGCCCAAGAAATATTCACAGCCACTCTTTCTGGCAATCCATCGAATTCTTGCAGCAGCTCGGTCCAATTTATCGCGTACCTTCTGCATTTGGAAAAGGAGTTTTCGTTGTACGGGATGGATAGGTTCTTCGCTTCTTCTTCATCGAGGAACCACAAATCTGGAACCTACTTCTTTGCATTTTTATTAAAACGTTCAGAGTAATCACATTTGTGAAATGTCTCGCCTCACCTTTTCTTCTATTTGTGATTTTTACAAAAATATATTTGGGCAAATAGAGAAAGAAAATGGAAGGAAAATTTGTGAATTGGACGTCGAAACATACCTTACACCAATGGTCGGGAACATCCGCCATGAAGAGCTGATTAAAAGCCCCAAAACCGCATGGGAAACATGAAGGAAGGCATATTAACCATAACAGTAGCTTTTGATAGAGACCAAATTCACCCACTTCTGGAAGAATATCGTCCATATCCATTCCATCATCCTATTTGAGGAATAGTAATATAAGATTCTCATTTTTATATACTATAAATGATTTATTAAACGCTATTGATTAGCTTATTACTGATAATGATTATGGCTTTCGAGTTATTTTCTTACTGCATTCAATCTATGGCGTTCGTCACAATTCTCGTTTTCTTGTTCACTGTATTCCATTTCGGACGGTTTCAATGACACAACTGGATCATGGCGGTTTAAACGAAGCCCTTAAAATGCCCTTTATAAGATTACTCCACATTTTTTAAGCAATTTATTTGAAAAGGGGAAATCTTACCTAATTCGAAGGGTAATTGATACGCATAAACACTTTTGATGATGTAACATATATTTTTTTATATCAACATTTATATTCGCAATACAAACATATATTTTAAAAGTACAAAAAAAAAATAAAATAAGAAAAATCACAATATCGAATTTAAAATTAATTTTTTGTCAATTACTTGACAAACGATACATAAATTTAACTAACCATATAATTTCAGTCAATTTATATATTATCCTATAAATATGTATAACACAATATTATTGTTTATCCTTTTGGGTGGACGAGTCAAAGGGTATGGACACTTCTGATTCGACTAATCTGAATACTTTACACCTCAAAGGTTGATTTTTCTAGTAAAATACTTTTTGTAAGTTTATTGAAGATAGTTAAAAGTATTATTTTACAACAAGAATTTAAGTGGATTGAAAGTTATTAAGTATTTAATATCCTTTAATTATTCAAATTAGAAATAATATTAACAAAAATTTGTTTCAAGAAAGGTATTAAACTGTTCCGAAAGTTACTAAGTTTGCGTAAACATTTTCTTAAGATTTTACGCAAGCGTATAAAGTTCAGAACGGTTCAATATCGATGTTGAAACCAACCAATTACTTTAACTTTAACCAAGAAATAAAACCTTGTTGCACAAAATAATATCTACAATTTATTTCCTTTTTAAATATCTTATTAGCTTAAAAAATAAATAATCAAATACCGACTTAACGAATAAATCACAATAAACTTTTACTAACTCATGATTCTCCTTTTTAAACACATTTACTTGCAAATTATTCCAATAATTAAATACACACTCTTACATTGAATTTTACATGTTTGTCAAGTATGCGCAGTTTTTATTCTCTGAAACAACCAAGTCAAATTGATGCCATGAGATTTTGAGAATTCACAAATGATTCACATTAAGTAGTAATAGACTGTAAAATGTCTAAATCTCAGTTAGAAAATTTAACTCGGTTTTTGTGGACTATTTTTACTGGCGCTTTTTGTTACGTTGAGTTGTGCTACTCGTAAGAAAATGGGGGTACAAATATGGCATAAAAGTGATGTATTTATTTAAGTATAACTACTAATTAGAGTGGCCTAAACAAACTCCATATCGAGTGTCCCGTTAAGAATCAGCTTGGATACCATCAGGCAATAATAGTATCTATGGAGGCTATAATGTTGTATTTAAACTTTATTCCTAAGAGAAGGTAAAAAAATATACCAAAGTTCAAACTTTGACACATTCCTGTTTCGATTTCTTTTAGGAATCACAATACTCGAGCTACTGTAAGTTATTCGTGTATATAGATGGAACAAAGCGACACCTTTTCATCTATACCACTCTTCATTTACTCATTTTAATAAGTCGAAAGAGCTTAGCAGCAACACAACAGTATAACATTAGTTTTCGTCCTTTCAGTTTCCATCACTATCATTTTAAATCGAAGTTCGCTTGTAATTTACACGGTAGCAATACAACCAACAGTCTGATTATATCGACTCGAGAGCAGAATGTTACTAAGTATTTTTTACGTTATTTAAGTAACCACCAGGTCATAGCCAAATCTTCGTGTAGTGTAGAAACGTGTAACTATTTACAAATGTTGCATTGAATTACACCATATTTTCCATGCAATCTCGAGAGTTATCACATACTGTCGCCGGATCTCTGATGGTTTCCGAATCGGTTCTCCTTATAGGTGGCAGTTTAAGTCGCAGTGCGTACCAGAACTTCTCTTCGTTTTTCCTCTCCCACAGGATGACCCCAATGCACCTAGAAAGTAAAGAAAATGTTGTAGATCTTTCACGATTAAGGCTCTAGACAGTACATGAGTTGATCAAATGGCATATAGGAGCAATAATTTCATTCAATAGTCTTTCAATTGTACCTTATCAACGCGCTTAGTGTTTCTCCTTGGGAATCTTTCGTTTGGTTCTCGTTTTTCGGTAGTTCTTTAAGTGATATGCAGATTAACTTTGGCCCCAGCGATTTTAGTTGTTTCAAAGCCAACATCAATTGGCTCGACTCCCAGTTATCCTTGAGTAGAGTTGGAGACAGCACGGCGACTATCCTACGGTATTTTTTCGCTTCTTCGCTCAGATCCGCGTACCCTAAAACAAGACACAAAATATAAGCCAAAAATCCACATTTTCGCCACGTATAATTTTTGTTATTTTTGTACTTATAATATAGTCATTTAAATGCATGCTATAGTGAGTGTAGTACTTACACATATTGATGGGAGAAATCAATTCTTTGGAGTCGCATTTATAATTGTATTTTTCCTGCAGAGTCGGTAACAAAACTCCTTGCGCGATTTCGGTGTCCTGCGGGGCGAATATGACGAGCACGTCTTTCTCTTTATCGTCGTCGTTTTCGGAGGAATTGAGAGCGTCTTTCAGGTAAACTTGCACCCTGAGCCCGAAACGTAGATACAAGATGAAAACGATGGTCAACGACACTCCGATGAGGGCGAATATCAGCAGGGTTTTCGTCACGGGAATGGGATAGGCGTCCAAGAATATCACTTCTTCACCTGGAAAATTAGTGGTGAAGATTAGTGGATTAATTAGATGAATGGTAGTGTGGTGAAACTTACTTTTTTCGTGAATATACACGTATCTTTCGATGGTAATTCCTGGTTTGGTGATAACGCATACATATTGTCCCAAATCTTCGGGTTTGCTTTCGTTTATGTAGAGGTAGGCTCCTATAGTTTGACCTTCTTCTCTGAAATAATATAATAATAAATTGCTTATCTCTACTGAATATGCAGAATTTATTTATTTTGCTATTAATAATATAAAATACATATGTATAAAGAAAATGTATTTTTGTCTGATTTGTGGTAATGATAAATAGAGAAACATCAAAAGGCTCAAGCCTTAATAGCGGTTTTATAGCGAATTATTATAGATCCAGTGTTTTTACACTACTAGGAAATGCACGGAAACAAATATCCACTTTTCAACTAAGGATGAGTAAGACTTTTATTTATACAAATTTCTCGGAAAACAATTTTTAGATGAATTATAAATAAAATGTTCTTCGATAGCGTACACCGTACATGATGCGCAATAGGTATTTTTTATGCATAATATTATAACGTTTAAAGTGCAGGTGTATTCAAGGATTCCTCTAAAAAAACGAATGACTTATCTATTTGTTATCTTGTATTCTACTGTAATTTTCGATTATTTTTTTATTCTATGTGTATTCACGTTACGTACTCAATGTTTCTCAATTTTTATTGTTATCGTTTCAGTATTATTGGAGTTGTCTTAATTACAATGATAAGGAGAAATGACGACATCTTGTAAGTTATGTTTATTCTTTAAATATATTGTGGTTGTAAATCAGTTTATAGTAACTTTGCAAATTTAAAAAGTTGCTAGTTCCATTAAACACTAACAAAAATTAACAAAATTAGTGCCTGATAGAAAGATAGATAGCAGATATCGGATCTTTTAGGGAAAATTATTAAAAGTAGAGGGAAACTAGGTACGACCAAGTTTTTTTCGCTGCTCATTATAATTATCCTTCGAAGAGCTGCAGAAGAAGAAAAGCAACGAGACAAAGACGATGCGACGCTCAATAAACGAGGAAAAAAAGGAATAGCGCACACGAGTGCAGTTCTCACGATTGACTTTTACAACCGGTCTACATCGTGTTTTATTTCCTTAATCGCGTTTTTTTGTCACCGCCGATCGACGTTTCAGCGGAATTCTTACCAATTACAGGTAATTATGTGGAATTTTTTGCTCCCGACGAACTCACTTACAGGACTCATACAGGTGGTCATTTTTTGAGCGGCCACATTAAATTATTTTCCTGTAAATTGTTTATTAACCACACCAACAAAACGAATGCAATCGCCATCAAAAAAATTCCAATTTTATTTTCAATCGCAGGAATTTTGTTTCATGAACAATTAGGTATCAATTATTTACCCTTTTCGATCCTCCAAAATATTTATTAAAATTGGTAAAATATTCGATTATTGCTCATGGAAAATTTTTAATGTACGTCTACATTTGTTTCACAAATAAGAGTAAGTTTATTGAATTAACTTTAGAAAATCCATATAGTATTAATGTTTCTATTTTAACATAGAAAAAAACACAATTTCATTGAAACCGAAACTGGCCACTCGCCGGGCATTTCTAATGAGGCAATTTAAACCGGCTATCGCCGTTTTTTAAGTGGCTTTTAACGCGGCGAAACGGCAGTGGATAGCGTTCATATGCGAATGCCCCGCATAATGCAACGTTTGGGGCATTGTCTTTTGCTTCTTTTTTCTGTCGTTAGCAAATTGCAGAAAACCGTAGAGCGGAAATAATGGCAAATACAATGCGAACGCACGCACACGCCGGTCCTTGAGCATACGCTTAAACGCCCCTTTCGATTGCGCCTGTACAGGGTGATTTGTAGGTATTGTGCACTCGTGTCATATCAACGAAGGTGTGGAATAAGTAGGTACCGAGTTTTTTTATAAAAACTTGTTTTTTATGTGGAAACCTTGTTACATAACTACTTTTTTAACCGTTTCAATGACTTCTTCAACTTTGCGTTAACCAAAATAATAAAGGCAAATGATTTTTGATGATGACTTTGAGATACTTCTAAAAAATACTACTTTCTCCTTATCAAAAATGCATGCTCATGCAATTTTCACAATAAAATTAATTAGTAATATACCTGCTTAAACTCTTAAATTTGATCATAAAAACTCTTTAAATTACTTACCGAGTAGTTTTCAGTTTTTCTATTCGCAAAGGGATGTCTATCATGGAAGAGTTCGGGGCAATTTTCTTCCAATAGGCATCGCTGTGTGCATCAGGGAGGTCAACCTGTCCTGTAAAATCGCTTGTTTAGGTTGTGGCAATCACCCGGTACAATAAGGGAAATTTAAATAGAACTAAAGACATTGCGGAACAAACAAGGAATATATAACTGCAATAGAGGAAAGAAGTAAAGATAACTTACCAACGTAGGCTTCACAGAACAGCCTCAGGCTGTCTCCTACTGCAATGTTTGCCTTGTCGGTGATGTAGGTTATTTTTGGTTCGTCAGGAATTTTATCTGCAACGATATTTATCAAAATTATTTAATTTTCATAAAACTTAGAATGTTTGAATTAAATTGAAAGTTGCTTCCTATACCGTTCATACCTTCGTATACGCTTCGTCTACCGTTTATTTATTTATTCATGCAGCATTTTCACACTCTGTCGCCCATTTATCAATCCCGAAATGCTTCGTTAATTTATTGCGAAAAATCCAATGGTTAATTTAAATTGCAAATGCCCCCATTTTAAAGCCAAACATATGTATATTCCAACAAGCAACAGAAAATTTCCTTTAAAAATTGAATTCTCCACTCACAATACCTACACATTAAACATGCATGTAGGTATAAGAAACCTGATTGTCAAGATATTGAAGTAAATCAATTTTCACCGATCCATTATTACTCAGCACTCGACACATCTGGCTAGTTTACATCCATTCATTAACGGAACAAACCACACGACCCTCTCCCAACCATGTGCGAGCGCAGGTGACAATAATAATGCATGCCCACTCATCTGTTCGCTTTTCCTGGTAGATAATGCAAAGCAAAAACAAAGCAGGTATTTGTAATATTATGCCGTTGCGCATAATTCCGGAATTTTTCTTTAAATTAGATAACGTTCACGATTACGTGCTCGATTAATATTGCTCTTGAATGGCATGAATAAATTGTTGTTCTGGGTTAACCGTAACTTCTTACTCTTACATTGAATATCCTTGAATTGATACTTTTTTGCAGTGTTTCCAAAAATTTTTATATTTAGGAATTAACCTATTTTCTGTTACATTTAGGTTCTCCTGCGAGTTGCCCTATTTATTCCGCAATCTGAACGAGAATTCAATTTGCTGACAATAAAATTATTTATTATTATTCCAATAACTAAGGCCCACACGTTTCCGGTAAAAGGCGGCAATTCCATTTTGGTATTTAAACAAGGTGTTACTTTTTCGCGCAACAGTTGAAGAACAAGAGCACTTGTATAATAATGCAGTAGTTTATATACTGTTGTAGGGTGTTATGTCGGAATATAATGCTTATAAATCACCACGGATAAGAATTAACGGTATGAGAATGGTTCGAAATGATTTTCTAGAAGTTCGAATACCTACATAATCTCAGAATGTCGCGTAATGCGCTTGGAATGATTGTTTTATTTATGAAATTAACTGACGTATCAGTTGGCATACTACCTGCATTTCAGTATGAGGAATTGTATAAGTAGTTTAATAGCGGGATAAATGCCCTAATTGGATTGCTATAATCACAAAACTTACCGAATATTTTCAACTGAATCGTGTGGCTGTACACGGTGGTCTCGTTTCGAAGATAACATGTGTAATTTCCTTGATCCTTCTGCCTAACGGACTGTACGTATATCGTTTGATTAAGACTTGCTGGATTTATAATTAGTCCTGAAGTTTCCAGAGCCCATGGATAAGGCTTTCCATCCTTATACCTACAACAAAAAGAAGCCTGTTATTAATTCTAACTAGTAAGCAACAATCAACTGTATAGGGCATTTAATAATTACTGCACTCAATTGGTTTTCTGGAAATTAATTATAAATCGGAATTGAAGGAGAATGCATTACCATTGGGCGGCGCATCTATTAATTAACCAACTCCTACAGCGACAACCCGTTATAGCGCCTAATTATTAGTTAGATAACGAGGAACGGTTTTATTGTCATGAATTTTCCAGGAAAATTGTTAGAATGGCATGTTCGAGGACTGGTACGTAATTAGTGCCGTTGTCATCATTCGGATCGTTTCTGGTGCTTAGAATTTACACGCCAATTGAATCGTGCCGGCAAGGCAAACCGACTCAAAGTTCCGCTGTTTGAACAGATTCTTAACGAATGTGAACAATGACAAATATAGGCTCGACTTGTGTGTTTGGTGAGAAAAAGTACTGATGGAGCAGCGACAGGGCCGTTGTGGCAGATAGTTTTAAAATCCTTCAATTAATTCAAAAATTCATAAGATAGTCCTCAAATAAGCCCATAGTTTAGTTTTAAAAGAATGTTAATTCTAATAGAGCAGGCAAGGCATGTAAGACAAAAATTATCACAATATCTACCTAAAAATAAATATTAAAGTAACATTAATTAATATACAAATAAGTACTTTTTTATTGTCCATATCATTATTTATAAGCACCAGCATTTATTTCAAAGCCTCCACTCCTTAATTTTAATAAATTGTTATAAGAATGTTCCCTATAATATTCGATTATTAAAAATATCCATAAGCCGTTATTGTTGAAAATTTTCCAATGTCACAGCTTAATTCTAATTTTGTAATTCGAAGAATCGTGCAAATATAATAAATTTCTTGTTTGTGGATGTTATGATGTTTTAAATTATAAGTCGATATTAAAGTGAATGTTTTTAGTTTTTTAGTACAAGAGAGCTTAATTGCACATTTGTTTCTAATAAAATATAAAAGTGCATTTTAAACCATCAATAATGTTATTTAATAACAAGAAAATAAATAAACAAACAATATTGCATATGCGAGTATTACGCATACCTAATGAGAATAATGATAAAATATCAAACGAGTGATAAAGATATCTTAAAATAATTTTGCGTAAAAATTTAAAACAGATCTAATCGATGTTTTGCAACAATCCGAGGTGTTTTCAAATACCAGTCCTGATGTTTCCACAACAACTCCATATTAATCATAACAAAGGAAACGAAATTTTCTTTTCATCATAAATCATTCAAAATTTCATTGATATAAACTCGACAAATACTCATCGACATAAAGAAAACTTTACATTTGACACCAGTATAATATTTTCAAGTGACATCCAGATATACGCATGATATGGGTGTGACATCAGACATGACATTGGGCTAATACTCTGCATACCATAACCAATTCAATTCTATCACAATAATAGGGTAATTTGAGGGTACAATTGCATTATACTCAATTCCTAAAAGGATTAATATATGATCTTCAACAACAGAGTACAGACCGACAGGAATAACTGAGGTAGCGAAGGCCGAAGGCATTGCTCCTGTTTTCAGTTATTTCCTTCGAATTGTAAGATCTATTCGAAACAATCGAGCCTTTGAACTAGTTCATGGCACGTAATTTCATTGCGTACATCGGCGTGATACAGTTGTCGCATCGGTTCAAGCAAAAAGCGTGTCGGGAAACTTGACAAATGCACATAAAGCGCAGAGAGCCGTCGAAAAGTGGAAAGAACAACTTTTTCCGTACCATCAACCGTTACCAACTGTCGACCTCTACATGGTATATTATGTACATATACGTGGTATATTGTGTAACGATTTCGTGGAATATAATCGTCCGATACTCGACGCGATTTTTAATAAATTTATGTCGTTTGTGTGATTGATTGATGTATGTACTTGGTTACAAGGACTCGTCTGTAAAAAGTGTTGCACAATAAAGTTAAATTGTTTTTAATTGAAAACGAAAGTATGGAAGAAATTTAAGTAATATTTAAGTCCAAAAATTGATTAAATACATATAACAAAATTCTACATTTAAGTAATTTTAGTTGCTACATAAATATTATGAATCATACCAAATATCGTTTCTTTCAGGAACATTTACGACTTGACAAATGCGGCACGAAAGCGAAACGCTTTTCATTAAAATTTCTAAACTGCCGGTAGGATATTTCCTTACCACACACCTATGCACGGAGAACACGGTCTCTGGACGCCCAGCACCGCCATAAAAGCTGTTGTAAAACTCAAAACTCGAGTTGTTAAGACAGATTTCACAGCTGTCACTTAAAGGAGCAATAGACTCATAACTTGCGAGCGTTAGGACTCATTCAAAATTAACAATAGAATCATTTTACCTGGTAAGATTTTGGAAAAAAATTTCTCAAAAGCGTTTGTGCGGGCTGCTAATGACCAGAGGCGGTCCAAAATTGGTCCATACGGGATGTTTCTCGTGAAATATTGCAGGATAGCAGATAAATATAAAAATTAAGTTATTATAGTGGAGTCCAAAGTAATAATTTTATATAAATCGATATACTATATGGCTATTTGTTTGCCTACTGTTTACTTTTACACACAATCTGCATTAATTTAATGTTAAAGCCCACGTTTTTATCAGCATAGGTAAATTTTCACATTATTTTTTGCCAATTTAAATTTGATGGTTTGGTCGATAAATTTCCATATTTCTTGGGACTATTTTTTTTTGCTAAGTGTAGGCGTAAATAACTATTAAGCCAATTCTAAAAAAATTACATTACTGTTAGGCGTTTAGTCGAAGAATAAAACAATAAATTATATACTGTATGATAACGTTAGTGTTTCTAGGAATTATTTTTAAAAACTCTACTTAATGTACATTTTTACAATGTAGGTACTTTGCATTATTTAGACTTTAAATGAATACCTAGATAATATAAATTGCAAAGGTAGGTAGATAAAAACACGAAAGCCTACCTGCTTTATGTTTGGAATCAAGTAAAGTGCAGCGACTATAAAATTACACGTTATTATTTGCCAGTGCAATCTGAAATCCTTTAAAATAAGCATGAGCTTGAAAGCTGGCGGAACCGAATACGAAAACAAACACGACGTCCTCTCCTGATTTTTTTACACGCTATATAGATTTTCCATCGTCCTTACCGTTGTTTGCCCGTTGGGCAACGAGAATGACAAGTTCATTAGCTCTATTTGTTGATACAGACCTCGCTAACAAGATCTTTGTTTGCGGTACGCATCTTTTTGTCATCATTTCGACTATTTGTCGTCGTCCGCTCTTAAACAACCCGAGAATCCTTTTGTCCGGATCGGGTCGCTCTTCTCTTCCTTTTACGATGTGTAAACGCAAACAATTTGAAGAAAATATCGTGATACGGTGATAAACTGTTTTCAGTGTAGTGTTTCCGATCGGTCTAGCGTATTAGTTCACACAATATAGTACTACCCAGGGATGGTTTCAGATCTGTTTATTAATTTTCTGCACGTATTGAACAATTTAAATTTTCCGTGCCATGTCAAAATTGCATCAATATTACACTAAAATTAAATTACATACATCCTGCCGTTCCCTGCCTAATTAAATTACTTCAACTCGCACATACTTGAAGCATACAATATTATTAAGTTGCTTTTTTTCCTTATTTCTATTCCGCAAATGTTCCTTTTGGTCACGAAATGCACATGTGTCATCAAACTCACCGGCTACGGCGACCGTCAATTAATCGAATAATTCTTGCAATTCGCCATTATGGTCACGAAGTTTTAATTGTTAACCCACCGGAGTGGCAATGCCGATACGGAAATGCTGAGGTACCATTTATGTTCCATTTCCGGCGTTCTCAGAGCGATGCCATCGGGTATTTCGTCGGAATTATTTATTACTCTTCTCGGTAATTAGCGGTAATCGCAATTAAATTTTACCGGGTATTATTATGTTTTGTTTTATTGGCATTCTTACTGTAAAAAATAGGCCTCTAATTGGGATATTTAATTTGAATGTAAGTGAATGATTTGGAAAAATATGAATTGAACGATCGAGTATGAATTTTATCAAGTTTTCTTAGATTTTCTATAATGAGACAAGTGACTTTCTTCAAGTCACTTAATATACCATTTTTTTTAACTTAATCGACCAATTATGCGAAATTTTAAATCACCTAAAACGTGTTTTTTGTATGACTGTTTTAATTATCATTATACTTAACTATTTAGAATGAAGTACGCACATAGACAAATCAAAGACCTGAAAACCGATTCACGTATTGCGGACACTATTAACGACTCTTGATCATAATAGATCGTCTTCCCAGTTGCCCTGCAAGGTAAAAACGACTATTTTCCATCGTTTTTTTCGTCGTATCGCTGTGGCATTTTTTGCCGTCGCCACAGTTTGTATTACAACTGTACAAACGGCGTGTTAACCCGCAGGTGTCTTGTTTTACAGCCCGACCAGTCACTATGGAAGAGTTCACTGATTTCACTTTATTGGCTGCTAATTTCATTCATAAGCGACTCGACGAACGCCTACCTGACGTTTTATTATCGTTCGTTCTTCTAGAAATCCGGTTGTAGACCGGACAGTTCGAAAAGTTTTATTACCGCGAATAATTGTTTCATGAAAGTGAAAACGGGTCCGCATGTAGGACCCGCTAGTTTCATAAATTTTGTCAAGGCTAAACTGTGAATTCCGATTTCGGCAAAAGGATAAGACTTTTTACAATTTTTAAAAAGATTCAAAAATCCATCCAGTAATGATGAAATATTATGACAAAAATCTGGTTTCAAAACTACATACTAACTTAAATTTGCACCATATCCACCTTTTCATAAGCCATTCCTTCCGTTTCCTAATCTTTAAATTTCAATTGACAATATTAAAATTCCCCCTTTATTGTACAATATGGACGAGCACAAAATTTTAAATCCCGGATTTCTCAGCCTCTCATCTCATACAATTCTGCTAA